CAACTGTTCACATATTTCATACAAAATGCTTTTAATGAAGTATAATTTTGTGTGTATGTATATTGTGTGTCTTTGAGTCAGTTTTCACTTCTGGAGGCTATCTGGATATGTCCCTGCAGTTTTCTTGGATTTTGGAAGTGGTTTTCCATTGCCTATTTCCAAGGATTGAGAGAGAATGGCCCAAGGTCACTTACCTATAGCAGAACTAGAACTCACGGACTCCTGGTTTCTGGATGGATTCCTTAACTGCTACACCACAGTGGCTCTTGTGATTACTCTGCAAGTTTTCTAACAATCTAAGATAATTTCAAGATTTACTGCTCCGTATGTCTAAAATAAACAATCAAGTGTTTTGATAAACAGTTTATAGTATCTGAATGGTGTATGTTGGTGAAATTTTGAAGAGAAAATATGGCTCCACAATGAAACTAAATTATAATTATGTTCTTCATCTAATAATGTTAGATTGGAAAAAGGTTCATATCCTCAAACGTGCTATGTTTAATTCTGTGTAAAAAAAAAGCTCCTGTCAACAATTTTGAAAGAAAATTCAACATAGATATACAGGTAATCCTTGCTTGACAATTGTCCCATTTAAAATCCATTTAAAATTACAATGGCGCTGAAAAAGTACCGTATTTTCCGGCGTATAAGACGACTGGGCGTATAAGACGACCCCCTACTTTTCCTGTTAAAATATAGGGTTTGGGCTATACTCGCCGTATAAGACTACCCCTCTTCCAACGCACACCAAATAAAAATTAAAAAACATCAGATTTGATTTCAATATGGTAATTTTAATTCAAATGCTTATGCCTTTCCAAGAATCTAGTAAACCAGGATACAGTGGCCTTAAATCTGTTGCTGTGATCTGGGTTAGATTTGGCCCACTGAAGTGCAAACAAACGTATTTTATTTCGTGTCACTACATAACCGTTTTGGCGATGCTCATTCACCATGTCTGCTACATGTTTTTCGAGTTCTGGCCAATGTGGGGTGCCTCTTCTTAATGCACACTTACCCCTTGGCATACTCTTTAACGCTTTTACATTTGCTTTCCAGTCCCGAACCATCTTTTCTGTTACTCCATATTGTCTTGCAGCAGCACAGTTATTATGTTCCATGGCAAAGTTTACAACTTTAAGTTTAAAACTGGCTTCATATTTCTTTCTTCTTGCTGGTGGAGCCATGATGGGGTCTTGACTGTTATATTTGTATACTATACTGTATGTACTGTTGCTGTACTGTATGTATTGTTGCTGTACTGTAGAGAAAGGTAATGGGCTACGCTATGTGTAGTGGCAAGAGGGCTATTTTGTACCAGGTTTTTTTCCTTCACCCATGCAGCCTTGTCGAGATCCGCACAGCTTCATGAATCTGAGTTGCTGGCACTGACTGATGACATTGACAGAAAGCTGTGCCAATCTAGTCAAGGCTGCATGCTACTGAATGCTGGAACCAACTGGCTGCTGAGCAGAGCTTCTCCCAGGCATCTAGGGGGGTATTACCGACGCTCCAACTTCCCCAGCTGACCCCCACTGATGGCGAGCTCCACCGGTCTGGGGAAGTCAGAGCGCCGGTAATATCTCCCTGGATGCCTGGGGGAAGCTCCGCGCAGCAACCAGCTGGTTCCAGCATTCCAAGGAGGTCCATGGTGAAAGTGGCACCGCGGTCGACCTGGGCCAGCACCTTGCACACCTGGCTCTGCGTCTCCATTATGAGAAGCTTCGTGCGACTTCGCATGTCTCCGCCCCAGTCGCGCAGCTCTCGCAATCCGCTCACCGGAGGAGCCATGAAGTGCTCGCACCGCCTTGCCAGATCTTCCTCATCCTCCTTTCCCCATGGCTTTTCCGGTTGTAATTGCTGCTGCTGCTGCCGCCGAGGCTTATCCTTCATTTCCGCCCGCCGCACCAGACCCAGCCCGGCCAGCACCGCCGTGGCTCCCGCAGTCCAAGCGGATCGGCACCCAGGCTCGCAGGCGAAGGGTGGGAGTGCGCAGCGCACTTTCCTGGCTTGGCGTCAATCCGGATGGCTGCAGTAATGGTGAGAGCGGGCAACCTCGGGAGAGCCATTTCGGGACTCCGTTTTGCACGTGTAGCGGATCCCAGTTACCAAGAAACCCGGAGAAGAGGCACAAGGGGGGTTTATCAAAAAGAAGCTTTAAAAGAGGTCTCGATACAGAGGACGCGGCGAGCATGGACACCGTCCACACAAACAGGCACCAAAGTCTCATTGCGGCAACGTTAAGCCGTGACTTTACACGCCTCCTAGTTTTAGGCTGCTTGTTCCAATGCCTTCGCGATAAGCCGGCAGAATTAAAACTCTTTTTTTCTTTCTTTCCCTCTCTCTCTCTCTCTCTCTCTCTCTCTCTCTCGGCAGCTTTGAACCCGTGGAATTGGGGGGAGAGAGGGGGAATGTTATCAGCAACAAACAACAACAAAAAGTGTGTGTTTGTGGAGAGGGGAGGTAGTGGTAAAGGCGGCAGACCGGTTTTTTTTCCCCAAGCCGACCTCTTTTGCGGCCTATCCAGCCCGACCCCATTCAGAAGAAAGGCTGCAGCCGGAAAGAAATGGGGGGGAAAGACATCTGCACCTTTTGTTACATACACACACACGAAACCCACAGTTTTCTGGCCTCTCGCGCAGATCTGTTGTGGGGTGGGGTGGGTGGGAGCCACATAATTCCGGGAGGCGAAAAGGGGCACAGGGATATTTCCAGAAATGAGCGAAATAATGCAATCCACGCAGCGACGCCCATATTCTCCCGTTCAGATTCTACCTCTGGCTGAGAGAAAACTGCCTTGAAAGTTTCTCTGCCCCCCTCACCCTTTAAACCCAAGACCCTGCCTCGTTTGCAGACTAGAGCACTTCTTTCCCCCGCCCGATTAGCCCAGGTTAAAATCTTAAAAGCTCGGGCGCCCCTCAAGCGCTTCTCCCGACATTGGGATGAACGAGAAAGCCGTTTTAGCCTCACCTATTCTTCCACACACACCCCTCCACCCTGGAAGGTAATTTAGCGCTGCTCCTCCTTTCCCCATGGCTTTTCTGGTTGTAATTGTTGCTGCTGCTGCCACCGAGGCTGCTCCTTCATCTCCGCCCGCCGCACCAGACCCAGCCCGGCCAGCACCGCTGTGGCTCCCACAGTCCAAGCGGATCGGCACCTGGGCTCGCAGGCGAAGGGTGGGAGTGCACAGCGCACTTTCCTGGCTTGGCGCCGATCCGGACGGCTGCAGAAGGAACTGGGCACCGGCTGTCATGTCTTTTCTGCTGTGCGGGATTCGGCACCTGGGCTCCCGGGGTTTAAGCCTCCGGGCCGGCCCGCGCTGCTCCAGGATGTTCGCTTCGGGCTCCTTGGAATCGCTGCCGGGCGGTTCTTCCCATTGGGGCGATGGTGGGTGGCTGCGAGCCTGGAAGAGGTGGTGAAATGCAGAGCAATACCTTGTGGGGAAGGAGTTCGCCGTGGCTCCCGCAGTCCAAGCGACGCCGATCACTGCCACCCACCATCGCCCCAACGGGAAGAACCGCCCGGCAGCGATTCCAAGGAGCCCGAAGCGAACATCCTGGAGCAGCGCGGGCCGGCCCGGAGGCTTAAACCCCGGGAGCCCAGGTGCCGAATCCCGCACAGCAGAAAAGACATGACAGCCGGTGCCCAGTTCCTTCTGCAGCCGTCCGGATTGGCGCCAAGCCAGGAAAGTGCGCTGTGCACTCCCACCCTTCGCCTGCGAGCCCGGGTGCCGATCCGCTTGGACTGCGGGAGCCACAGCGGTGCTGGCCGGGCTGGGTCTGGTGCGGCGGGCGGAGATGAAGGAGCAGCCTCGGCGGCAGCAGCAGCAACAATTACAACCGGAAAAGCCATGGGGAAAGGAGGATGAGGAAGATCTGGCAAGGCGGTGCGAGCACTTCATGGCTCCTCCGGTGAGCGGATTGCGAGAGCTGCGCGACTGGGGCGGAGACATGCAAAGTCGCATGGAGCTTCTCATAATGGAGACGCAGAGCCAGGTGTGCAAGGCGCTGGCCCAGGTCGACCGCAGCGCCGCTTTCACCGTGGACTGCTGGGAAAGAAAGGAAGGTGACCCGAATTCTGGGGTAGAGTGGGGACACGTTCCTTTCTCGTGGGCCGCGCACTGCCTGGCACCTCTTGTAGGTTGGAACTAATTCGGAGTACAGCTTCCCCTCAATGTTGCCGGCGCTCCCAAAGTGTCATCGGTCAGCGCCAGCAACTCAGATTCGGGTACCCGGCGTATAAGACGACCCCCGACTTTTGAGATGATTTTCCTGGGTTAAAAAGTCGTCTTATACGCCGGAAAATACGGTAACTTTACGATAAGTCCTTGAACTTATAACTTCGACAATGTCCCTGTGGTCACATGTTTGAAGTTTCAGTGCTTCACTACTGGCAGGTATTGTGACTGTCACAGCATGCCACTGTCAATCGCCAATTGCGTACTTCACATCAGCTTCCAAAAAGCAGAATCATTGGAGAAGCCAGCCGGTAAAATCACAAGTTGTGATCATGTAATATTTCACTTAACCACTTAGCTGCAAAAGAGATATTACTATACAATTGAGTGTATTCTACTTTCCAGAGGGAGGGCTCTTTATATGATGGAAAATTATAGATTTAACAATGCTCATAAGCAAATAGCATCTGGTCAGCACACAGATCAAAGTTTTGCATTATATTTAAATATCCAGATATGTATTAGTAGTTATAAACAAGCACAAAAACATTTGTATGAATCTATCCCCTTTTGACTTACAAGAAAAAGATTGATCTTGGCTGTAGAAAAAAAGTGAAAAGAAAGGAAAACACTGAACACCTATAAATTGCTGCTGTTATTTCTAAAAACATTACATCTTCTAAAACTGGAAAGATTAATTTTGGGAGCTGCAGTTTCTATATGTTTGATGGCCAGGATGGGAAAGACAGGTCTAATGGATGTTCTATTGCAATATTCTACAAACAAGGGACTACATTTTTAATAACGTTTTCTTCTGTAGGTTGATATCCTTTCAAGAATTTGTAGCGTTTGAATCTGTCCTCTGTGCTCCCGATGCATTGTTTATGGTGGCATTTCAGCTTTTTGACAAAACTGGCAAAGGAGAAGTTACTTTTGGTAAGACTTGTTTTTACTTATTTCCCTCTTTTTATTTTTTCCTTCATGTGATTTTTTAATAAATATGCATTGAAGAGAAGCTGGGATTTTTTTTAGCTTTTATTCCTTAACTGGAATCTTGTTGCTTAATTAAAGATTGCAAAACCCAGAGAGCACCAGGAACTCCAGAGTTCAAATGTGTTTAAAATGCATTGTTTATTTGAATCATATACGATCTTGCCTCTTTTAGCTTGAGACAGCATACATTGTATTCTTTCTCCTATTTTTCTTACCTAAAAAACCCTGTGAGATGGGTTAGGGTGAAATAGTGTGACTACCTCAAAGCTGTGTAATGTGCATCAGTAGCTGAAAGTGAACTAGAACTTTAGAATTTCCCAGTCCTAATCCATTGTTTTAACCACTATATTACATTGGCTCTCTATGAAATTTTGCATAATGAGTCTAAAAATCTTCACGTTTACGATAGATAGATAGATAGATAGATAGATAGATAGATAGATAGATAGATAGATGGATGGATGGATGGATGGATGGATGGATGGATGGATGGATGGATAGATGTAGATGGTAGATATAATAAAATAAACATACAGTATATTATTAAATATAAAGCAGGATCCCAGCTGTCCTATCCTACTGGAATCAATCTAATTTTTAAACTCAGTTTCTGAAACTTTTCCAGTTTCAATTTAATATTTTTTCCCAGAATTCTGGTGGAAAGTTAGAATACTGTACAGCGGGGGTCCCCAACCCCTGGTCTGTGGTATGCAAGCAACCGAACCTCTCAAAATGAAGCCCCATCCACAGTATGCAGGCAGCAAGCAAAACATGCCTTCTCCAGTCCGTGGAAAAACCTTTCACCATGGAACTGGTCCCTGGAGACCAAAAGATTGGGAGCTGCTGCTATATAGCATCCTATTTCTTCATATTTTTGAAATGCCATTATAATATATAATGGGATCAAAATATCCTATAACTTTCATATATAGAATTAAAAAGGAATAAAAATACAATATATTTATGTAACATTACTTTTAAATATTTTAAAATCTATTTTAAATAGCATTTTACTCTGGTTACATGGTACTACAGGTAGTCCTACCTAGACTAACAACAGTTTGTTTAGTGACCATTCAAAGTTACAATGGGACTGGAAAAAGTTATTTATGACCATTTTTCACACTTATGACCATTGAGCATTTCCATGATCACATGATCAAAATTCAGAAGCTTGGCAACTGACTCAGATGTATGATGGCTGCAGTGTCCTGGATCATGTGATTATCTTTTGCGACCTTCTGACAAGCAAAGTCAGTGAGGAAACCAGATTCACTTAAAATCCTGTCATTAATTTAATAACTGAAGGGATTCACTTAACAACTGTGGCAAGAAAGTTTGTAAAATGGGACAAAATTCACTTAACAACTGTCTCACTTAGCAACAGAAATTTTGGGCTCAATTGTGGTTGTAAATTGAGGATTACCTGTACATTTATCAGTCTTTCCATTTCATTCAAACCATACTTGTCATAAATTTAAGATTGCAAAACAGCAGTGGTGTAGTCTTTCCATTGTAAGAGTAGTATTTTTCTACGCCCCATGCTTAATATAAATCCAAAATTCTTCATAGCTTTATAAAATCTAATTTCAAAACTACATTCACATCTCTAACAGTTACTACTTCCCTAAAATTGTATTAATTATTTAAACTAAAATTGGCCCATGATAGAGAAAGCCCATATAATATGTGTTTCCAGAGTGTCCTCTGTATCATTTTATACTTCTAGCACAGGGATGTCAAACTCGATTTCATTGATGGCTGCATCAGGGTTGTGTTGGACCTAGGGGGCCAGGGTGGCCGTGGTCAGGGTGGCCATGTCTAGTTCGATGTCACTTGTGTCAGGGGCCACCTGTGGTGGTCTGAGTGCCAGCAAAAATGGGTTTCTGAGCTCCATTTTTTTTAAAAATTTGATTTATATGCCGCCCTTCTCTGGAGACTTAGGGCAGCTTACAATGCATTAAGCAATAGCCTTCATACTTTTGTATATTTTATACAAAGCTTATTGCCCCCACAAACTGGGTCCTCAATTTACCTACCTTAGAAAGGATGGAAGGCTAAGTCAACCTTGAGCCTGGTGAGATTCAAACTTACAGTAATTGCAGACAACTGATTTAATCACAATGCTATTAGTCTGCTGAGCCACCAGGCCCTATTTTTGGCTGCAATGGCTTCCTGCAACCTTCTGCCAGCAAAAACAGAGCTCAGGAGGGCTGCCCATGGCCCTCCTGAGCTCTCTTTTTGCTGGCAGAGGCACCATGGGCTGGTCCCTTTGCTGTTTCCAGGGTGGCCCCACAGGCCAGATCTAAGCACCCCGTAGTCCGGATCCGGCCCCCGGGCCTTGAGTTTGACACCCCTGTTCTAGCATAAAGAAACAAACAAATAACCTATTTCCAGCACTCTTGTAAATCCCCAATAAACATCCATAAAATCTAGTGTAGAATTAACATTATAAGCATTATAAAATGGTATTAACATTTCATGTGATCTTGATTCTATCGTAGATTATCAGATTATCAAATTTGGAGTACATGATGTGAAGAGGAGCTTTTTTGAAGAGTTGCTAGAATAGGTGAAAGGAAAGAGAAAAGAATATAACAAGGTGGATGGACTCAATTGGACTCCATCCAGCAACAATTTTGCTACTTTTGGAAGAGGTCTTGGATGACCTTTGAATCATAAGGTTAGAGGTTAGACCTTTTGAATCATAAGGTTAGAGGGAGATAATGCTGAAGGAAAACTACCTATATAGGACTGTGAGTTAATGCTAACTTGATGGCACATAATCAGTCAATCTCTGGTGATATAACTACTATGTTCCATGTTGTTTGGTCTATTAGGAGCCAAACTTTTTTTCTCAAAAGGGCAAAAGGTGCCTTGCTTTAGTGTAGGCAGTAGAAGAAAAAATGGACCAATAAATAAATATAAAGCAATTATACTCCTTAGAAATTTTTAATGAGGTTTTATAGTTTTTTTGTATCACTGGAAATAAGCCACAAAGAGTGTGAACTAAGATTAATTTGATGACGCTTGCTGCAGACAGATTTTTTTTAAATCACTGTACTGTTTCATATTGGACTATACTGATCAGATAGTTAACTGAACCAGAATATTATATTTTATTTATTTATTTATTTATTTATTTATTTATTTATTTATTTATTTATTTATTTATTTATTTATTAATTATTCGAATTTCTATACCGCCCTTCTCCTTTCGGACTCAGGGCGGTGAACAGCCAAAATAAAAACATTTATACATAAATACGATTAAAAATAGATTTAAAATAATTAAATTTGGCCCATAGTTTAAAATTTATCAATTTAAAATCCATATCAAAATTTAAAACCAACCATAAAATCATAAAATCAAGAGAGACCGGCTAACTGAAAGAGATGAGTTTTTAGGGCCCGACGAAAGGTCCGAAGGTCGGAGATCACTCGTATCTCTGGGGGTAGATTGTTCCAAAGGATAGGTGCCACCACAGAGAAGGCTCTCCTCCTGGGGGTCGCCAGCCGGCATTGTCTAGCTGACGGCACCCTGAGGAGGCCCTCTCTGTGGGAGCGAACTGGCCGGTGGGAGGCTATTGGTGGCAGAAGGCGGTCCTGTAAGTACCCTGGCCCTAAGCCATGGAGCGCTTTAAATGTGATCACCAACACCTTGAAGCGCACCCGGAAGTCCACCGGAAGCCAATGCAGCTCGCGCAGGAGAGGAGTCACATGGGAGCGCCCAGTCGCTCCCATAATCCCCGCGCGGCCGCATTCTGCACCAGTTGGAGCCTCCGGGTGTACCCCAAGGGGAGCCCCATGTAGAGAGCGTTACAGTAGTCCAGACGAGTCCAATATGTTATCAGAAACTGAGAGTAAAGCATAAATTGATTGCAAATTGATAAGGTTGGAGTGTTTTTACGAAACCAAAATGGTATCAGTAAAAGTTATATCATAAAAATAAGAATGAACATTTAATGCTTAGATACATAATGTTTTCTATGCTCAGATACAGAAAGTCTCTTAGTTTTTTTTTAAAAGGAGCTAAACTGAAGCTGCCTTCTAACAAGAAAACCTAGATCTACTAGCTAAAGTAGACCTATGTGTCATATTAAAATTTTCAAGAGATCTCAATCTAATTGCTAGGGAATGCTCTCCACTAAATGAGGTATATCTTCAAAAAAAATTGCACTACATTTGCACTAATTCAAAGCATTTAGTACCTGATTAAATAATAAGTGTGTTACTTCAAATAATGTCAGCAAGTCCTTGTTTTACCACACCATTGTGATCCTCTGCCACAAACTGTTCTAGTGGGATCAATTTACTCAGTGGTGGGATTCAAAAATTTTTATTACTGGTTTTGTGGATGTGGCTTGGTAGGCGTGGTGTGGCTTGGTAGGCATGGCAGGGGAAAGATACTGCAAAATCTCCATTCCCTCCCGATCAACTGGGACTTGGGAGGCAGAGAATAGATGGGCGCGGGGCCAGTCAGAGGTGGTATTTACCGGTTCTCCGAACTACTCAAAATTTCTACTACCGGTTCTCCAGAACTGGTCAGAACCTGCTGAATACCACCTCTGAACTTACTCCTAAAATCTTGAAGTTCTCAAAAAAAGGTGATTCCAGATATAATGCTGTGACATTGATTTAAAAAAAAACAGCCATTCATATACCAAACATCTGTCCAAATATGGAGGCCTTTGCATGTACATCTCTATACATGCTGGTTTCCACATTCTGGGTTTTAACATATGGAAGCCAAAACATAGGAGCTGTTTAACTGAGGAGAACTAGTTTCTTGGAGCCCCCATATCTCTTCACACATACCCTAGTAATTCTATTTTAATTTTAGTGCAATTTTACAAAAATTCCCTGCTAGCCTTTTGTGATATAGCAAAGGAACAGTTTATGAACAAATCAGTAAGCACAGCCAGAGGCCATTGCTTTTCTAC